GACGTGGTGGTATGTCCCAGATGAGAGGGACACTTCCAAAAAAGTATTTACAAGAGTTGAACATTTACATGGATAAGAACAACCACCCGAGTTACAATACAATAGTAGGGTATTTAAAAAACAGAGTTTTGGAAGGGATATAACCTCTTGTGCTTCTGGGAATAAGCCAACCTCTGGGTAATGTGAGTAAGAAGGAAAATTTCCCCTCTGGGCAGGTAATTCCATAACTGTCTGTTGAAGGGTCTGCATCTGAGGCTTGCCTACCTGGACCAATGGTTTGGAATTTCCATACTAAATCAATGCTACAGTCCAAGTGCACCACTTCATCTCCTCTTTTAACATTTCCATAGACACTTGCTGGCTGTAGGCAACTCATTACGTGACGAGTAGCTCTGGGAGAGAGACCGTTTAATCAGGATTAAATATCAACAGCTCACCTCCACCATGACAATAGGAATGTCTTGCAACAAGTCATGAGGTGGCCATCAACAGTGAATCAGTGACCAGCATCTGGCTGGTCTTTTCCTCTCTCCCACTCCCAGCATCAGCAAAGGGGTCCACACACAATGGTCCCTCTTGCACTAAGTAAATTGTGAAAATAGGAGCAGTCATGTTTGCAGCATCAGACCAGTTTACAGTTCTCTTTTGTACAAGGTTACAGTTGGATGTTTCTAAAGCATGCTATTTATAGCTGATATATAAAACTTCCAGTTGAAGCTACTTTTACTTTTCTCTAACACAGCAGACAGGACTTCTGATGCTAGCAGTTTTTGTATGGCAATGCTTAGCTGATTCATGTGCTATAAAGGTGAAATTTGTCAGTGGTGCAAAGCAACTTCTGTCCTTTAAGGTCAAGCAGTCAGTAATGCAAAGAGAGAATATGTACATTACATAGGAAGCACATTGGACCAAATTCTTTTCTCATTTATACTAATGTAAATCTGGACTAATACCACTGAAGTTGGTGGTGGTATGCTGGATTTACACTTGCTTAAGGGAGAGCAGAATCTGATCCATTATCATAAATACTACAATATATCCCTGCATAATAGTACTGATCTAATTTCTTTAGATAATATATTAATAATATATAATATATCTTTTAGAATATTAGGGTTGGAAGAGACCTCAGGAGATCATCTAGTCCAATCCCCCGCTCAAAGCAGGACCGACACCAACAAAATCATCCCAGCCAGGGCTTTGTCAAGCCAGGCCTTGAAAACCTCTAAGGATGGAGATTCCACCACCTCCCTACGTAACCCATTCCAGTGCTTCACCACCGTCCTAGTGAAATAGTGTTTCCTAATAAAATATATTTTCTTTCTTACTAATATGACAGTCATGAATATGAGAAGATGGCAAACTCTCTCTCAACCTCTCTGCTGAAAATTAGGTGAGAGAAAGGAAGTGGTAGCTTTGTTTTTGTTAAACCATGTGAAAAGTAAGTCGTGGTCATAATTGTTCAGAGAAAACATGAGTCAAATGCAAGACTAATTCCACCAATTTATGAGAGATTTTTCTTTCCTTGGCTCCTCCTGATGATATGCTAGGCAAATTTTGGACAGGAAAAGGGAACAGGCAGAATTGTTTTTCTTTTTTATCCCCTGGCCCTGCAAAAATATGCTGCAAAGCTTCCAATGTTCTATTTGCAATGTTTGTCATTTTCAGGAACTTGCAGGGATTGTAAAAGTTTACCTCAGGAACATTTTCTCTCCCTTAATATTTTTTCTTGTTTTTTCTGCTTGGTAAAGAATGAGTGCTGAGGGACTTCCCGTGCTCTGAGGACAGGGGATGTGCAACTTCCAAGTTAAAAAGGGAGACACACCATGTCCCTGATCATATAAGTGCTTATAGAAACAGTTCCAACATTGTCTCATTTACTGGCCTTCATCCAAGCTGATGTTGCAGGTGATTGACTATCAATAGCAACAAACTCACTTGATGCCCAAGTCACTCTGCAGCTGACATCAATTGGGCATCTTTGGCTTGAAATGAAACACACTGTACCATGCTCAATACAAATTAACAGACGCCTATTATGTCATCCAATAATTGTTTTCCAGATTAGCAGGGGGAGACCCATAAAATGAAACCATCACAGTTCAACGAAACTGTATTCTCTCTCCAATCAGGAATAGAGAAAATAAGTCTCTTTATGGTAAGAGTGTGTAATTTAAAAACTTGCAATGTTTGCAACATTTCACCATTAATTATTCAGTAATTTCATAAGATCTCCTCTCAGCAGCTTAGTTGAACCACTAGTTATATTGAATAGTCAAAAAGCATGTTAATAAAGCAGGTCAATTAGAGCCTAGAAGCAAAATTCCACTCTAAGGTAATGGGGAACTGCATTGAATTCAAACCCCAATTACTCTCCATCTGATGGAGTTGGTACATCAGATTACAGGCCACAGAAAGTTACTTTAAACTCAGCATTTCCAACATTTCCAGCACTGACCCATTGTAAATCATGAATAATACATTCTGGGCTAGATCATACCAGTTATGTACAACTTTGAGTCATGGGAAATGCAGAATTGCACTGCCTCAGGAGCAGCTCAGGGACTTCAGTGAGCTGCCTTCCCTTCCTGGTGGGTGTGTGGCACTGGGGGCAGGGAGGCTGCACCATCCTTTAGAATGGTGTAATGTGCTCCCATTGCTGCAGCCAACCTGGTTTACAGAATGATTCAGAGTGGAGGTTCAAACCAGGGCCTCACCCCCTCCCTGGCCCTTTTTGAGGTAATATGAATGAACAGAGGGAGCAGTCCTTGGTCCTCGCACTGCGCTCACAAGGGATTGGCGGGGATTGGCTCCTTGTGATTATCCACCCAACATACACAACTTTAAGGGACAGGGACACCCTGGCTTTGCATTTTAACATACCTGTTTCTAATTCTAAGCCAATCATTATCCCACTCTGTACAGCTTGCCATGAACAGGGACACAGTAGATTTCAAATTAGAACTTAAAACTCATGCCCCTGTGTGCTGGGCATGGACATCGACTATCTCATGGCACCTTTTATAAGGTGTGCCCTGGTATCCTTGTCTGGATTTTCACTTCAAAGTTCTACAACAGGCTGTGTCCCAGTTCGATGTCACCCTCCACCCCAGAGATGGCTGGAGAGCAGTGGCTCTAAATGAACTAGGAGGACTTGTGGCACCTTAGACACTAACAAATTTATTTGAGCATAAGCTTTCGTGGGCTAATGCTCAAATAAATTTGTTAGTGTCTAAGGTGCCACGAGTACTCCTTGTTCTTTCTGCTGATACAGACTCACACGGCTACCACTCTGAAACCTGTCTAAATGTACTGTTATATAGTTTGTGATTTGGGATCATTACGCATGAAAGATGTCATATAAATATATAGTAAAATACTGTTGTCCTTATTAATTATCATTGCTCCCTTTTTTTTTTTTTTGGGTCTACTTTTACAGTTTTTAAAGCAGGACATTTAATATGTATACATGCTTCCCATTAGATTAATATTAACATTTTTATATACCAATGGCTTTTCTTAAAAAGAATAGAATCGCTTATTGACCAAAATGAGGAAGCAACTACATATTGTTGAATACATGGATTATTCCTGAAATAAAGTCCTGTGCTAGGTATCACCTTTTAAAAAAAAATTAAAAAAAGATTTTATAGAATTGCTTAATTACTTTATTTCTCGGCAATGAGATATATTTAATAACCAAGGGCCACTTTGTGCGTTTAGTTTTTAAGAACTCCCTATTGAATTAAGCACATGGGCAAATTTGTGTGTAATTTTGAACTTAAAAGTTGAAATGTTTCATTATAGAGTTCATGTTCTGATAAAGTGACTCCGAGAAAGTGATCAGAGAAGGGGCAAAGAGGAAAAATCAGACAAAAATAAGGGTGAAAATGTTCAAATGTTGACACATTGAAAAATAAACAAGATTGTGAATAGAGGAAGCAGAGAGGAAAGAAATTGTAATATGAAATAAACATAACATTTACAATAAAAGATAGACAACTGACGCTTGCCAGCATAGCTGTTGGAGAATTCACCTTGTTCTAACATCTAAAAACAGACTACACTTTAGTTAGAGATTTCCTTCCCCACCCCAGTTGATCCAAAAAATCTGGGTTTAGATTACAGGGGAAAGAAATCACAACCTCAAACTTGTTTTGCAAACCTGGTGAAGGCAGAAATTATAACTCAAGGTTTCCAAAATGTTGATCTTCATGAAGTTCATCTGTCCCAAATAACAGCAGTTCAGCAAAGCAACATTCTTTCCACTAATAGATTTTGCCACTGACAAAAACTCCTTCTGTGTGACTTTGGCTAAGGGCTCTCCCTTTTTCAGGTCCTCATGAAAGTGTCAGATGCTGCTGCAGATATTATCTCTGATGGATGCATGTTTCCTCACTTTTCGAACCTAGTCTCATGCAGGACTGGGTGGCTCAAAGTATTGGCAATGACCTTTGGCAATGACCTATAGAGCCTTTTGTCTCTAGAACATTGGTGTGAATCCAGGTAAGTCAATAGTAACTATAAGTCACTCCCATTTGAGGGCAGTTTGGAGACCTATGAGTGGCCATCTCCATTCAGTTCCCATAATACAGAGGTGCATATTGCAAAATCATTATCACAAATGTTCCTAACTATATCAACAAAAAGGCAAGGATTGAATCAATTAAGAGTTTGAACTACCTTACCATAATCCTTCCAGGTTCAGACTGAGGCACACTGGTCCATTTGAGGAGCTTGCACTGTCTGCCATTTCCTGTGATACGCTTACTCTATGAAGAGGAGTTTGTGGTCTTCAAAAGCCATCAATCCAACACATCTGGCAAGAAATTAATTCCACTGGAAATGTGTTTGTTTGTTTTTTTTAATCTATCATCCAGGTTGTACAGTAGGATCTCATTTTTGTTTTAATTTTCTGTTTTTTAAAAGAATTTATTGCATACTCGATCACCCTGGCAAGTGTGCGCATCAGACAAAAAAAATCAAACATCACTATAAAGTTCAGTCAATAGTGTTTAATATAAAAGCCATGAACAGTGTATTTACTATGTAATAGAATGCTTATTTTCCCTAGTCTCCTGTGGATAGTGTAGCCCATCCCATTTTTGTAGACTATACCATTTTTGCAATGAAGAAAATATATTTTAAAATACATGCTGCTGGCATCTGATTTTTGTGGCTGTTTTTCTTGGGGAATTTTTATTTAGTTTAAACACCATTTAAAAAAGTTGGACACTAAGGAGCACATCTGAGGATACAATAATACTTGGCTATTCAGACAGATGTGGTAAATCACATGTTACAGATCACTAAGTCAATGGTGCAAACATGCTACAATATAGGACTGGTTGCCAATTACATTTCTGAGATACTGACAAATACCGATAAATGAAGGATGGATTAAAACCAGGTCTGAGCAGACATCTTAAGCATGAACTTTGACTCTTGCCAAATGGCAGGCTAGACAGTGCTTTATTGCCTCTGCTGAGATGGAATTAGATACACTGCAGCATACGGGAACATCTAGCAACATCATCAGCCTACAGACCAGTAGAAGGGTTTTTTTGCAGTTGGTCTCTAGACTCCTAAAATGTTTCGGTGCTCAAACAAGCCTAAATTGTTTTCTAGTTTCTCTCTCAAGTATTTTAAAGGTGCTTATCATTCTGGTATCTAAGCAACAAGCTTCAAAGAAAAACATGGGTATTTAAACTATGAGCAACCTGATATGTCTGATCCAGTAAATTATACATCATTTTAGTGATGTGTCAAGGCCATGATTGCTTGACTAATGTTAAAAAGACATTGTTTTACTAAAACATCCACAGACATGATGAGAAACAGTAACATTTTATTTTAAAAGTGGCTTTTGATTCTTTTTAAAAATGGTATTGTTTAATTCCTGTTCACTGTGTTTTACTTAATAAAAAGCAAAACCAATCAAACTATGGTACTGCTGCCAGCACAGAGGCAAGAGGACAGGTAGACCAGCACACTATGGACTGTGTGGTACATTCAAACAGATGCAGAGGCTGAGACATGTTTCCAATTGTAAAAAAAATTGTTTCACTTGTTCTGCTTTTCTAACCAGTTCACTCCAAGATTCTTGGCTGCTCACCAGCATAGAGTGGCCATGTTATCATAGGAAGATACTGCTCTCACAGTGGTAAACAAAACAAAAAAAGAAAAGGACATTTTTATGATTTATTTAAAAATAATGTGGTGACAGCTAATGTATGGACGATGGAACACTGCATATCACAGGAGGGCGACTGACCATGGTAATCCCACAGCTCTCCAGCATTCCCAGACTCAGGGATACTAACACTCTCCCAGAGTTACTAAAAGAATGGAGTCCCAAATCGCCATAGGAAAAGGGTTTGATCCCACCACCTGACACAGAGAAGGGATTTGAATTTGGGTCTCCCGCATTCTGGGTGAGTGCCTTAACCACTCGGCTAAAAATTATGAAAGGGGCACCACCTCCTCCTCTGGCAGTTTTGTGTGGAGTTAGGCATGCTCTGAGCATGGCTCCCAGGCTGGGCCCCACAGGCTGAATTGGTGGGAGAAAGCCTAGTTTGGCAATCCTTGTGGGGCTTAAGTACAAGAGGTGCCCGGTCCCTAGCCAGAAATGGCTGTGCACATGCTCATTGGCAGAAACGTAGGCACCTAGGTGACTTTAAGGGTGGAAATGTAGGAGCCTTGGGACTTTAATCTTCTACAGTGTTAGGTGGCAGCCAGGCAGGGATTTTGAGGATCTCAATGGCACCTCAATGTTGGACTTACATCTAGAGTGGCAGTGAGGCAGTTAAGCAGTTAGGCAGTTAGTAAGGTGGCTCTGGCCCTAAGTGACTTGCCCAAAGTCAGGCAGGAAGTCTAGTCTGTGCTAATCATGATAGTATCTGAGCACCCTCCAACAGAGCATGAAGCAACATGACTGCACATCTGTCACATGTTCTATTAGCCTCTCGCCAGGGAGAGAATGAGGTGCATTGGAGTATGTGGTTTTAGTAGGTGGCTTTTGTTTTAACATACATATTGCTGTGTATTTATATTTGACAAATAGGCCTTGCACTTGGAGCAGAAAGCAGTGAGGTTTGTGAAGATCCTTCATTCCTGGAGGAGTTTATCCCACAGTTTTGAAGCGCCCCTGGAGAAAGTGCAGGGACTTCAGCAGAGCAGGGAATTGAACCCAGGTCTCCAGAATCTCAGGCTAGAAGCTGAACAGTGGACCCCATCCTTCCTTTGTCTGTTCATAGAATAAAGATAACAGATTTTCCAGGGTGAACCTGTATTTGGTACTCCCACATCCCCCAAAAAATAAGCAACTGGGAATATAAGGCTAGCCCTGCTCCAGAACCAGGATTTTTGGTTTCTCACATCTGATTTATTTTTTCTCCAGGCTCTGACAAAATGAACCTTCGTAGCAGTTATTTTTCTGTCATTCGGAATTTAAAGACAAAGCCTCTGGCTATCCTAAAGGCTACAGCACAGCTATAGAAAGCACTCCTTCAGCAATTCCTGAAAGCTTTCAGTTATGTGTAGCAAAGATCAATTTTTGCTATGACGTTTTGGGGCAAAATGCCAGCAGTTTCCTCCCCAAACTGGAATTGGCAAAAAAAAGGTGCAGGTTTTTCCAGCTTTGTTCTGAGTTTAGATGTTTGTGCAACTCTATTTTCCATGCATACAACATGACTAGCAGGGGAATGGGAGAAAATGCCTTGTGCATGATGGTACCCAACTGGTTGCAGATGAGTAATGTTGGCAAATTTGAACTGCCAATTGTTACTTAATGTAACAAAATAAGGCACTGTAAGGTACTGGCTTAGATCACAATTTGCTGTAAAGACTCAAACAATGAAACACATTAAGGGCTAGATTTTCAGCTAGTATAAACTGGGTTATGCTGATTTACATCAGCTGACGAGCTGGCCCTAAAGGAATTCTGAACAATAATGCTTTGTCTTGTTTTTGTTTGGACCAGGTATCTTTCCATTTGCAAATCTATTGCCACTGTACTGGATATAGAAATCAACATAGCACTATGATGTAGGAGCATTTGAGGTCGAGAAGGACCTACTAACTAATCCTATCTTAAGTCACAAACAAGGGATTTTTGTGATGTTTGCCTTAGGCCATACACTTATACTACCACTTATGTTGGCAAAACTTACGTCGCTCATGGGTGTGAAAAAAACACTTCTCCCACCGACATAGCTACCGCTGCTCGTTGAGGTGATTTGATTATGTCGATGGGAGAGCTCTGTCCCATCAGCATAGAGCAGCTACACGAGTGATCTTACACTCCACTTACGCTCCATCGGTACAGCTGTGCCATTGGAAGCTCTCTAGTGTAGACATGGTCTTAATCACTAATGAACATGTGTCAATATCACAAAACCTTCATGTTTAGGTGCAACTGGCAGTTTCTCCTCTCAAGAGTCTACAAACTAGAAAATCAGGAGTTCAGATTCACATTTCTTTGCCAAAGCTTTGTACAGTGGATTTTCTCATGTGGACTTTTTTACAACTGAATTCCATAGATTGCAGTAGCTACCAGTTTCCTTCTAGAGTTAATTTGCAGTGATGACTTTGATCTATAAAATCTTCCTTACTTCAGGTCCTGACTTCCTTGGAGAATTAATCTCTCTCTAAGGCAACCTGACCACTGAGATTTGCTGGGATAGTTCTGATAACAGGCAAGCACTAGAGGTTCCTCAACTCTGGAACTTGCTTCCCATTTTGGCCTGACAAAGCCCCAGTATATTTAATATCAAGTCCATGGTGTGCAGGCTTGAAGGAATAGCTGGGCAAATATCTGATTTGCAATTATGCTAGGGGCTGGTCTTGGGAGTTACGTTCAGATTTTACTTTTGTGAAATTGTTATCTTATAATTATTTCTTTAAGTCACTTAACATGTGCCCAGACAATTACAATGGGTAATTAATGTAAAATATATATACTAATTGTGTGTAATTGGGGAAAGCGTGCAGTAACTTTCAATTTATGTGAGATGATGCTTTACGTGAAAACCATAGTCTCTTGCTATATGCTCTAGTACCAATAAAAGTCAAGTCTGTAGCTGTAAATATGCTGCTCATATTCATACTCCATTGTTGTTAGGGATACTGTATGGTTTGTGGCTCGATGCTCATCTTCAGTAATTTTGGTTTTCATTTGATTTTCTCAAGATTTAGCTGTTTTCTGCTCTCCACGAAAGGGCCCTCTGATTCCATACATAATAGCTCACTGTTTGTAGTTTCATGTTCTGAAGGATGAAGTGATTCACAAATAAGCACAAAAACTGGGTTTGGAAAATCAGAAGTTGTTCCTTGAAAGACAAACAAAAAAGCAAGAAAAAAATCTGAAGTCTTTTTGTTTTGGTGGCACACAGAATGCTGTAATAATACTATGATCAGAAGGAAAAGTGGCTTTTACAAGACTGGATGGAAATTAATTTCCATCAGTTTAACAATGCTGAATAGCTAATAATGGTGAACAGCTGAGAGTGACTCAGCATTGCATCAATTGTGCCCATGCTCTCAGGATGTGTTTGTTTTCAACGTGAAACCAGATTGCAACTTTCTTCTGATTGCCAATGACTAAGACACATGTAAGATGTTAGGGCTTGAGTCATTGTTCCTGTTTTTTCCTCAAACAGATAGCAAAAGAAATAACTCAGTGGGGAAAAATTAAGTCTCACTTAAATATTAAATGTTATCAAGTGCTTAAAGCAGTGGTGGGCAACCTGTGGCCCACGGGCTGCATGTGGCCCATCAGGGTAATCTGATTGCGGGCTGCAAGACATTTTGCTGATGTTGACTGTCCGCAAGCATGGCCCCCCACAGTTCCCAGTGGCTGCAGTTCACCGTTCCCAGCCAATGGGAGCTGTGGGAAGCAGCAGCCAGCATGTCCCTGTGGCCCGCTGCTTCCCGCAGATCCCATTGGCCGGGAACTGTGAACCGTGGCCACTGGGAGCTGCGGGGAGCTATGCCTGTGGACGGTCAACATTGGCAAAATCTCTCACTACCCGCAATCAGATTACCCTGTTGGGCCGCAGCTTGCCCACCACTGGCTTAAAAAACCATAACTCTGTCTCAGCCTGCTGGGTGGAGGAATTTAGCCCTTATCTCAGTCCAAATTTTGAAATTAAACAAATCGTCTTTAAAATGCCTAGTAGTTTAAGAAGTCCTGTATCCCTTTCACTGTCCTTAATCTCCAGCAGGTCTTCTGTCTCTGCTGACATCCATCTTGGAAACTCATTAACAGGCATGAAAGCCTCTGCTGGGCCAGCTGCTGTCTGTAAATTTGCAAGGCTTGGAGCTTCCTTAGGGTACGGTGACCATGAGTCCTTGAAAATTGTTGATTTCCCACTTTTCAGCCCCTGTTGCTTGTGCAAATGATGGTGTTTTGTCAATCCTTGAGCTGGACAGCAGCTGGCAGAGTAAAGTCAATAAAAAGATTACCATAGACTCAAGTGGAAGTTGGCTCAGGCCCAAACCCAGGTGCACAGCCCCGGCTCATGAGAACAGTTATGATTCTCTGGGTCTTAGGTTATGGACTATAACTGTATTTGTCATAAAATGTATCCACACGAGAATTTTTTCCTAAGAAATTTTGATTGGGATTTGACCCCATAAATTCCCACATCCCAGTAGCCTGGCATCATAGGGAAGGAAATATATTTTAAGTCACTTCTGAATCCCCATATGGCACAGGCTTGAGTCAGAGAACAGCACGGGCCTGAAAAACTCAAGATATCTGCAAAGGTAGGATCCCTGTCAGGCCAGAAGAGGTTGCCTGGTATGTCCAATACGTTGGGGTGGGGGGTTCTTCCATATTTACTAAAACATAGGACTCAAACTAGAAACTTAAAAAAAAAGTTTCCTGGATAAAAGTACAAATGAAGACTTGGGAAGTAATATGTACTTTCTAGGTTACCTCTGACAGCAGGCCAGTTTCCTTTCAGCGATGTCCACATCGTTCTGGCTGTAACAGGTCTTCCCTCACTGGCAACAGGGTTTTGTTCCTATGTCCCATCAGTGCCTGTGTTGGACTTTTTTGGCCATAGATGTATTGGTGGAATTTCTTCACTCCAGATATCATAGTCACAAGCTCTCTTTCTATTTAGGGCTACCCCTGTTCAATCCTGGATAGGATTTGATGGTGTACGCAACTGGATGCTTCTGCAAAGGAGATACATCCAGTCCTTTCCCTGATGGATCACACTGGAGTGTCTATGGCTCTCTTGGCTGGTACTGCTTCAGGACAGGCTCATCTATTTATCATTGGTTTCAGCATGTCAACTGCTTGTTGTTGGGGGCCTGCCCAGTCCCATTCAACATCCTGCCTTGTGAGCTGAGTTAAGAGTTCCATTACTGCAGCCAGCTGTGGACAGAATTTGGACAGAAAATGTATCATTCCAATGGAGTGTGTACCCCATCACATCCACTGGAGCTGGCTTCTCTCTGCGTCCCTTGATCTTGCTGGGATCTGCTTTCAGCCCCTCTGCTGTGAGTAAATGTATGTTACCTCCTGCTGTTTGAGTCAGATTTTTTCTGGGTTGAGTTTTATGTTCTTGTCCTTGCATTGCTGTAGGAACATTTGCAGTTTTCTGTCATGGTCTCATTCACCTTCTTTATCCATGTTCCCTTCCCCTACAATTAGGATACCATCAGCAATTACTGTCACCCCAGGCAGCCCTTGAGCGAGCCTTCTTTGGAACATCTCTGGTGCTGGGCTTATGCCCATCAGCATGTGCAGCCATCTATAGTGACCAAATGGCATTGCAAAAGTTGTCAGCATGCTAGACTCTTTATCCAGGCTTAAGTGCAAAAATCACATCACGGACCGGAAAGATCCTGGCTTTGGAAAGTTCTCTCAAGATGTCATCAATTGTCGTCAGTGGATAGTGGCATCTTTTCAATGCCCAGGTCAGTGGCTTTGGGTCTATGCAGATGAGTAATTTGCCTGATGACTACAATACCACCACCATGCTGCTTAGCCAGGCTGTATTGGCCTCTACAGGTGCTATGATACCCCTGCTCTGAAGACTTTTGAACTTCTTAAGTATTGGATTATGTAGTGCCAGTGGAATTTTCCTTCAGGGCAAGCCTATGTTCCACAGGCACGGTTTTCCTTTTGAAGAACTTTTCCCCTTTGAAATCATCCCCCAGAGTTGTCTTCTTTGTCCATGGGGCTCCCATGGTCAGTTAACATCAGGTTATATTTTCCTACAGTCTGTATTATGGTCTGATTGTACATGATTAGAATCCACCTGCTTTTTGCAATTTTTTTTTTTCTAATCCAATTCACCTCCAAGGAATCACATTGCAGGAGGCCCTGCTCTCCAGCTAAAATCACACAGGGCATTTCTCCATTAACATTGTTACATGCACAGAGGTTATTGTCCTTTGTTTCTTTCCTGTCCCAATAACATGAACCAGTTATGCTTTCTGACTCAAGGAGAGAGTCATGATTTCATCGCCACTCTTTGGTGCATCATTCCCCTCTTGTACAAGTCTGATGGAATCTTTCTGGGACCTTCCTCTGCTCTTGCACACACTGCTAAAGTGGTTCAACTTGCCACATTCCTTGCAATGTTGTCCTAGCACGGGGCACTTTTCCTTTTTTCACTCATGCACCCATATAAACAGAAAACTTATTTTCTTAAAGGTGCCTACGACTGAGTCCTAAGTGCCAGAATCACTCATCTGTTCTTTTGTGGATCTTATGCCTGTGCCATTCATAGCATGAAGAACATTTCGGAACAAATTCTGTTCTCACTTACTTTGTATAAATCCAGGAAAGACCCTGGAATGGTCTCTGTAACTGGGTGGCTTGCCTGGAGGCTAGAGAGCCTGGGCCTAAACCAGCCCTGGTTAGAATGTGAGCTCCACCTGAGCAGAACCAGGTGATTCCAACATAAAAGGCAGCAGAGAGTGAGTGATTGAGAGAATAGCTGAGATTGCTGTAGGTGTGCAGTAAATTGGCTGAAACTCAGGAACTGGTAGAAGAACTGCAGAGAGTATGAGTGGACCCTGAGATTAAGGGAGCTGTGACAGAGGACTTGCAATGAGCAGGAGGCTCCTGTTAGAGACCCTGAATGACAGATGGGTTTGGCCTTGGGAGCCAGAGGGCGGAGAAAGGTTTAGCTTAACCCTAGGAGTAATGAGCCTTGCTCCTACTGGAGACCTTGACTAGGAGAAGGGTATGGCAGCCTGGAAACCAGAGGGTTGAAGAAGGCTGAGCTCCAGCCAGGTAAAGCTTTGAGAAAGTTTGTATTGGGGACTCAGCTCTGGGAAGAAAGGCTAGGGGCCTCCCTGCGTTGAGGGAAGAAGTGACTGAACTGGCATTTTTTTGAGCATGAGCTTTCGTGAGCTACAGCTCACTTCATCGGATGCATACCGTGGAAACTGCAGCAGACTTTATATACACACAGAGAATATGAAACAATACCTCCTCCCACCCCACTGTCCTGCTGGTAATAGCTTATCTAAAGTGATCATCAGGTGGGCCATTTCCAGCACAAATCCAGGTTTTCTCACCCTCCACCCCCCACACAAATTCACTCTCCTGCTGGTGCTAGCCCATCCAAAGTGACAACTCTTTACATAATCAAGTCGGGCTATTTCCTGCACAAATCCAGGTTTTCTCACATCCCCCCACCCCCATACACACACAAACTCACTCTCCTGCTGGTAATAGCTCATCTAAACTGACCACTCTCCAAGTTTAAATCCAAGTTAAACCAGAACATCTGGGGGGGGGGGGGTAGGAAAAAACAAGAGGAAACAGGCTAACTGGCATTGGGGCTTGTAGGTAAGGATTCAGTCCTTACCTGAAGGGGGAGAAATTGGTAGTATGGCACTGCAGAGTGATATCTGACCACAAGGGGGTGCTTGGAGGCAGTCAGTGGCCTGTGTGCTACAGTCTCCATCACAGTTAATGGAGTTTCTCTGGATTTACATCAGATGAGAGCAGAATTTGATTCTTCTCCTATAAAAATTATCAAAATGAGATCAGTGAGCCACATAACATGCAAAGCTGTGGTACCCCAGATGATTTCCAAATGTCATTTAATTAATCTGTGAAAAGATCACAAAGAAAAGCAGAGGCACACACCATCCATATTAATTTAACTTGTGAAGTTCTTGTTTGAAGATTCAAGCTTTAAAAAAAGTTGGCACGGAGTATTTTTTTTTATCCAAATAAAATGAGTGAAGAACCCTAAAATATACATATATGCTGTACCATATGCCATATCCACCCAATGAGCACCAAACAACCGTCAAAGCAAATATGTGAACCACAAAATGATTAGTAATATGCATCATGGATCCAAGGCAGCCTTAAAGTAGTGCAAATATTGCTCTGAGCAATAGAGAGGGGTCAACCAGTTCACCCTACATAAGCATACTGTTGTTTTCCCAAGTGCTGCAAAATCAATAGCACAAGTAGCCTGCAGGGAAACTTGGGAAGTCACATGCTAGTCTTTATGATTCCCAGCCCAGGCAAAAGCATTACTCATGGTTCTGTTTCCCAATGTGACATTCCCACTCTGCATTGCAAGAGTTGCACATTGCATGGATAAGTCTAAACTGGTACGGGTTGCCAGCAATCACGGAAGTGGGCACCGATGGCTGAAGCTGGCTACAGGCATCTGATGGGGGTGGGGGGGAAACTTGCAGGCAAGGGGGCCTGGGCAGTGGCAAATTGCATCCATACACAGTGGACAATCCATGCATACAAATAGGGGGCAGATGTTTGAGAAGAACTTGTTGGATCTATACAGCTCGAGATAAATGAACCTAGATCAACAGCATAAGGTTAATGCCAGGAATGAAATCAGCCATGCTGCTGTAAAGGGTAAAATGTTCATTTGGAGCAAACACTTCTAAATGAAATGGCCTACGCACACAATGCATATAATATGTGCCTGTTTGGTACCCACTAGTCCTCCAAAGACTCTCTACTGCTTGTGTATGACTGCCCACCATCACTCATCCTTATCTGCCTGCATTGCAATGAAAATGTTATCAAATTTCCATGTTCCAAAATAGTATCACAACAGTTATAGCAGCAAACAGATGTCCCACAATATTAATGCGGACACTCAAAGATCACTGATGGATTATTCAGTCCAGGTGGGGCCTACCGTCCACCAAGACACATGACTATGTAAGGTCACTGCAGTCACTGGAGAAGCACCAGTAGAAAAAGCGCAATAGCCACTCACTGCAAGCTGACAGGAAGGTATCCAAAAAAGCAGAGCAAGAAATGGTGCCAAGGGGCTTCCCCAAGGCAAAGCTGCTGCTAAAAGAAATGGAGAAAGCAACGTGAAGCAGTCTCACCCAAAGCAATGTCCTGTGGAATGAAGGTGTGTCCCACTTATTCCTCTTTCCTAGCCCTGACTATTTCCAGAGCTCCTTGCTAGCATCTCCCAAAGGACCAAAACTGCGATATGTCCTACTAGTTTTCCTTCCTTATTTGTGTCCCTTGGTTCTTACACTGACATTGTATCCTTCATTGCTAGTTTTCTCCTTTTCTCTGTCTGAGATACTTTGTTCACCTATTCTCATGGTGTTGCGCACACACACTTCGCATAATGTAAAGCAGTCAGTGGCTGCTGTATTTTAAGTACTGTTTGTGCCTTTTGTGTACACACACTCCATCATAGCATTCGGGTGAATGTCGCCTGACTATAACTGCTTCTGCACTGATGCATGACCAAACCATAGAGCTGATGTGCAAATCATTTTTATACCTGGGAAACGTAATATTTCTCCATTCTCCTCAAATTAAAATAAAAAGGACCATTTTGGTTCAAGCTTTTAAAATAAAATGAAATTTGGACCAGACCTGAAAAGTTTCTAAGTGGCACCTTAGAGACTAACCAATTTATTTTTATATCTTTCCACAGTATGCATCCGATGAAGTGAGCTGTAGCTCACGAAAGCTTATGCTCAAATAAATTGGTTAGTTTCTAAGGTGCCACAAGTCCTCCTTTTCTTTTTGTGAATACAGATTAACACGGCTGTTACTCTGAAACATGTAAAATGATCTAACTATAATTCCCACTATAGCACAAATCACTTCATCCTGCATAGAAATGCAACTCCTCTGTGGTGAAACCTGGCAGCTGTTTAACAGTGCACAGAAACATTACACAACAGTTTTAGAGAGGGAAGTGAAGAAAACTACTGTAACTAGTTGGATCTGCAAGGGATATTTATGTAGGCAGGAAGTAGTTTCCCACACTTACTTTAAAAAAAATCAGAATGATGTAATTGGGTTTTTTCTCTTTTGTTCAAGTAAAATGACAATTACTACTCTATCATTTTTTCCTTTTCAAAAGAATTGAAGTTCACATATGGCTGACACCTTCTTTTTCTTCATATTTAAAAAGAATTGTTAATTTAGCTAAATGCTTTTAAAGCATCATTTAGAATCTTTCTGAACAGCAGGTCAGAACTGTGTGTTTTGGATCCCAGAATATTTTTGCCTTGGTTCCCTAGTACTCTGAGAACAAGTCAGGAAGTGAAATGTATTATATGATTCATTTCTTTTTGTGCAAGTAATTTTAAAGGGTTTAATAAGATAAAGCTGTGGATCATTTTCCCCTTCACGCGTTTTCTTTAGCCTTGACAATCCTGTATTTTTTTCAGTATGCCAGCTGATGATACTTCTTGTTATAGTGAGTCACACTGAGGCTGTGTCAGTCACATCCTGTGACACTGAGTGATGTCACACACCAATGTGTCTGTGCAGAAAATATTTTAACCCCTTGTTTGCAACATCTTGGTCCTATTTTTAAAGGCAAGTTTTGTTTTTGAAACAGTACTATGTACGATGTACTTAAAGGTGATATGCAACTGTAGAATGAGGAGGTGTTAATGCCTTTTAAATTCTTTTTGATATGCAAAGAAGGCCAACAATTCCTCTAGTGAAACAAGGGAGAACTAGACTCGATATTCCTAACTGTATGAAAATAAACAAACGAAAGCCCCATCCCCAAAAAATATAAAAATAAATTGTTCAGGCTTTTCTTTATACAGCATAAAAAAAAATAGACACAAACCCAATTTTTTTAATATCCTTTACTATTCATCTTTAAGGACCTACAACTGCCCACTTGCAAGATCTGTGTGATAGACCTTTCAGCCCAAAGTGACCCTACAAAAGAAAGTCCTTTTTATGAAGAAGATCTAGCTATCCTCCTACAGCCAGAATTAGTCAGCCTACTGTTTATGGCTCCAATCCTTCAAAGAGCTCTAAGTTAAGTAGAGCCCTGCACAAGTATAGAACCCTTATTGAAAGACCTTACCTCAGTTGTAATGCAACACGTTAACAGCATTGGGGGAAAAGAAAGTCTAGTTTTCAAAGTAATTAATATAATGGAGAAGGGGGGACATAATATAGCCACATTTTTTCTCTAAGTTACTACCTATACATTTTAGAATTTGATTTTCTATAGTGCCCATCACTATAGTATATTTTACTGTGGTTATTACTGTTAATCATTGTTAGGAAACACAGTATTGAAAAGATGTATCTTTCTGTACATGAAGAAGGTGAGCTGTATTTTATGCTCAGTTCTAATTATAATAGTATATTAAAGCACAGCAAAAATTCTTGCTTTATTTGATGGTGCTCCACAGATAAGGCATTTTTAAATTCTTCCTCAGCCTGAACAGAGCAGCTGATGGTAAGATCCATTTCTGAGATGGGCATGGAATCTCCAGTTTTGGAATTTTTTGTGTGTGCAACTATGACAGATGTGCAGACTTCCCTCAGGAATGTTTTTAAAGTGACAGTCATAACTCTGCCAAGTGAATTTACCCACTAACAGAGAAGAAAAACGCCTCTGCCCCATGCTTGAGCTCTGCCTATTCAAGTTCACTTCAAGTACATTACGTATCTTATGTTGATGGTGTCTCATGTGCCATGGCCAGGATCCTGTAAGTGGGTCTGTGTAGAACACCCCTGAACCCATCTAGAGGACTTCTACCAGCTTGACACTGCAGGAACAGATCCCAAATTTCTACCAACACAAACAGGAGATGCACAGTGAGAGTTCTGCACACTGAGATAATAAAGTGAACATTTCTTACCTTCATTATTTGTACTGTGATCGTGCCTAGAGATCACAACCTAATTGTGCTAGGCACTGCAAGTATATGTATACTGGGGTTTTCAAAGGAGGCTAAAGGAGTTAAGGGATGTGCCTTAGGCTCATTTGTAAATCCCAGTCCTAATGAAAAGACATACCATGTCCCAATCAGCTTACAGTCTATGGTTGTGCTTTTGCATCACAAGTCATAATGCACTAAAAAATAAGGATCAATTCACCTATGAATGGGCTGGATCCTTATCTGGTGTAAATCAGCATCTCTCCATTTTAGAGCCACTTCATCATGTGGTGTCATGAAGTAAAATACAATGTCATAGCACTGCACTGGGATGTGTGAGTTGTTAATACATGAGACCATTGCTTCTCCATGATGCCTGCTAATGACTAACTGGGCCTTTCTTTTTTGCTCCTGGCTGCTGTCAGGATGGCTGTCTTCCTTGTCTGTCTCTAATTCCTTTCACTATCCTCCTTCACCGCCTCCCAGCTGATGGCTGAACAGAGAAGCCCTATCCTCTTCTTCCTGTCTGCTTAAGGGAAGGAGGTAAGAAGGTGTCAGAGGAGTTTCCTCTTTACCACTCTTCCACCCCTGCAACTCCTATTGCTTCCTGCAGGGTAGGAGGTCTCCTCTTCTCTGTTCTTCCCTGTCTCTTGCTACCTAGCAGGGAGGAGGCATATCTTTTCTCTCGTTCCACCACTGATCGGGAATGACCATTTGGTCAGAAAGAAGGAAGGCAGTGCTTGCCCCAAACTCTCAGTCCAACAGCTGGCAGAAGCATAGTTTCCAAGCAGTCAGGGGGAAAACCTACCCTGGCATGAATTACAGTAGTCACAATATAATTCCACAAAAGATTTCCAGCTTAAATCCTAAATATCCAATTTGTTGTTGCCCACAAATGAAATTCTTTTGTCTGACTCCCTGATCAGCAGGTCAGAAAGCTTAAAGCACTCTGTCTGGTGTGGTTTTGCTGTCCCTAGATCACTACTGTTATTTTCTTTGCAGCTAGTACACTTCAGGAAACATTTATTTTGACATCTATGAAGACTATAAACTTATGTTTCTTAACAGATGCACAACATCTTTATCCATCCCAGCACTTAGTTCTATTGTTTAGAAGATGTGTTCTCAAAAGGGTGCTCTGAAAAGGGATCCCCAGAATATATGTTTGAACATGGTCTTGGCTGTACCATACCTCCCACATTTGTTCTTCTGGGAACACTCCCAACTGCTGTAATTGTGTTGGCAAAACTCCCATGGCTTTAATGGGCAGAATCAGGGCCTATATATGGATCAAACTCAATCCTACTTTGAGAGATCTGCAAGATCACAACCCCAGATAGTGTGGGCAAATGCCTAATAATGATTCTTAGAATGATCCCTGATATGCAGGGAAAGGAGCAAGTGACCAACCAGGAAATACAAATTGCTTTTATTAGTGCATTTTCACCATTGTCTTTTGTGCAGTTTTCTTCATATTCATCCAACTATAAATTCAAACCTGGGGGAAATGTTAGACATCATTTATTTAATTAAGATCTGTGAAAAGATCAGGACAGTTCAACAAAATAATTTATTGTGATGCTAATTCTTAGTTCAGGTTTGTTCACATCCCCACATTGCCATATACATGTGAGTTAAAATGGACTATTCATGGGTACATTAGTATGCAAGCTTAGAATGTGCTTTCTGTGAGCATTCTTTCAGGTTAACCTCCAGCTACTGATACGGTCATGGAAAGTGAATGCAAAAAGATGGGAGGACAGATGATGTCAATTCATTTTTAAATTGGAGCAAATATCTGGATCTTTTATTTTATTTTAATTTTCACCCAGCAATTTTCACTGATCTAACTCTGAGTTCTTGAATTGGAACCAGCAAAACGCATCATATTTTATATCCTTTTAGGTTTATGTGCACAGAAGGATGTTGCATCTACAGAAGTTTCAGTACATAAACTCAATTGGTGATCAGTGTGTAAATGGAAGGAGCACGTCCCTTCTGGAAGTGCTTATAAGTAGTGATGATTTGTATGTCATGTTTGCACCTGTACTCCTAAAATTAATTCATTTTCAACAATGATTCCATTTTATATTACGGTATTTGAAAGATCTTTGCAAAAAAGTGTCTCTAATTCGCACAGATTTCATTGGACATCTTTTGCAGAAACATCAGTAGTTGACAACACAAATTATAAAAGGCCAATAATGTCTTTCCTTTCCAGACCATTGGAAAAAAACATCACATTCCTGGCCTTGGGGAACAGAGTTCAAGGAAATCTTAATGTCTCTAGAAAGGGGAAAAAACAAAACGACCCTGGAATTCAACAATATTGCTAGATAAAGGATGAAGTGACTCATAGGCTAATGCTACAAAAACATAAACAGCTCTGTATAAGATACAAGTAAGTGTTAAACTAAACTGACTGTATCTTAGACACTTCTTTCCAGAAATAGATTTCCCCTTCCCTAGGATAAGGAGTCTGCTTTCCTCTCTTATTTAGTAATGATAATGATTGACTTTACTCTGAGCCCTTGTGGTTATTAATTATGAGAAGACCAAAAAAAACCCCTCTGGCATCTGATTAAAAGAAAAAAGCTTAAAGCAAATAACTCCGAGATCAATTCATTGTTAAAATACTGACACTTAGTAGGTGTGTAAACTTGTGTCCCAGTTACCTAGGAGGCAAGCCATTTTCTTATATTTGAATCCATTACACAGAGACGTGTACACAGTATATTAGAGCTGTTCAAAAGTGAAAATATGTAAATAAAAGTTTCCTCATTTTCTTTCACTGTCTGTTTCAGGTGATTATGGGGCCCCTGAAATTTGACAGAACAAGCCACACCCCTTCAGATTGATGTATATTGTGATGGGGCAAGGCCAGATGGCTATGGAAAAGTAGTGGGAGATAGATATATTAGCTCCAGGCTAAACAAATCCCTGGTACCAGGATAAGTGAAATGGCAGCTGCTCCAGCTCAATTAAGACACCTGGGGCCAATTAAGAACTTTCCAGAAGGCAGGGAGAAGGCTAGGTTGATTGGGACACCTGAAGACAATCAGGAGCTGGCTGAAAATAGTTAAAAGCCTCCCAGTTAGTCAGGTGGGTGTGCATGTCAGGAGCTGTGGGAGGAAGTTGTGCTGTTGGAGAGGCTGAGTAGTACACACCATATGAGGCACAGGGAAGGAGGCTCTGAGGTAAGGGTGAAGTGGAGCTTGAGGAAGTGAGGGCTGCTGTGGGGGAAGTAGCCCAGGGAATTGTACATGTTATGTTTCTAAAAGGTCAGCTACCATAGCTGATACTATTAGGGCCCCTGGGCTGGAGCCTGAAGTAGAGGGTGGGCCTGGGCTCCCCCCGCCGCTTTGCCTCCTGATTAATCACTGAGACTGGGAGACAACAGAGACTGTGCAAGGAAGGATAACTTCTCCTCACCTCCCTCACTGGCTTATGATGAAAATGGTTCAGTAGACTGTGACCCTTGTGTCTAGAGAGAGAAGGGTTACGTGGAGGGTCACAGTGAGCCTCTGAGGCTAGCGAAATCCGCCAGGAAATGCGGGACCCACGGAGGCAAGGACAGAGCTTTGTCACAATATGGAGGCACCAGGTGATGTCTGGGTGCCTGGTGTCCCCTGTTGTATCAACCTTGTGCCTCAGAGACTGCAGAGAGGGCACTGCTCCTCAAGTGAAAATGGACTATTCAACCATAGCACCCAACTGGCCATTGTGCATTTTGGGTGCTGTGGTTGAATCCTCTTTACCACTTTTTCAAGGAAGTAGGTGCACAAGGCAGTGTGGGCTTTGCACTATTTTGGTAACTTTGATCTGGTTGAGTAGTGGTAGCTGGGGAGGGTTTGCTATGAGCAGGCATCATATGGTATCTTTTTTTTAAGTCATAATTTGAAAGCTTATTAAAAGTAAAGGGGGCGGGGAAGGATGCATGTGTTTTTCATATAGAGCTGAGCAAATAATTGATTTTGGGTCAGTGGCCAAACAGAAAAATACTCAACTGATTTTTTTTCTCACCGAAATGAACATCTGGAAGGAAAAAAAAAATGTTTGGGAGGAACAAAATGTTTTGACATCTCTGAATTTTGTTTCGGTTTGTTTGGTTGAAACTATTTGCCATATTCAACCCAAAGTTGCAAATCAGGTACATCTGCACTGCACAGCTCTTCCAGCAACGCGTAGTGTATGTATGTACATAGCCCCTATAATGTGGGTATAAATAGCAGTGTAGATCATAAGGCACAGCAGGTGAATAAAGACACACCTGAAGGGTGTGGGTATGTAGAAGTACATTCCATACATGGCTTTCCACTCACCCAAGCTGTTGGTCTCCATCTGTGCTGCTATTTTTAGCAGTGTAGTATCCTGCTGCCTCCCTGCTACTGAAGTCCTTCCCTGCTGCAGGAAAAGACTCTGGCACAGGAGAGGCAATCCCACTCCCTTCTCTCAGCAGAGCCTCTCCTCACTGCAGTGAAAAGCTCTGGCAACAGAGAGATGCTGAGGCCTTTCCCTGATGCCTCCTCTCTATCAGAGCCTTTCACTCGTATAGGATGCAGCCTGCTTTTCACTGTGGCATGCAGCTACATTTAGACTACACACTGCAGCTGGTCATAGCTATTGTTTTGGTGTCCTGAAAAATGTTCTTTTGCCATGAACTTACTGTTTGCCAAAAATGTTTCATGCAGCTCTAGTTTCATATAGATACCATGTATGTATTTTTAAATGTTACATATTTGTATGGACTGCAGTATGGGGGTTTCTGATCCATCCAGTATATATAACATTAAACTCATAAATCATTAAACTCATAAGATTCCAGATATCTGGTCCACTCTACTCCCTGGGAGACACTCATGTGGCAAACAGAGCAAAGACTCCCCATAACTCCCCTACAACTAAATCTCCCTATCTGGGGGAGCCCCCAACAGGCATAGACATAACATAGTTAGCCTCCGTCTAGCCTCCAATGCAGGGGATAAGGGTGGTGAGGGGTATACTGGAGTAGGGGAGCAATTGCCAGAGCATGATGAGCTCCAGCTATTCCCACTTTATAGGTGGCCCTCTAGGGACTATAGCTATCTGGCATAAGCTAGAGGAGTCCCCAGGCTGCTCTAGCCTGTGTTGGGATCAGGGAAGAGAATCAAGGAGCTATCGTAAGCTCTCTGACAGCCCCACAACCAGCTTTGCTGAGCAGAAACTGAGCACAACAAAGAATCTGGCCTATATATTACCCAAATGTATGTAACACACTTTTATTTAATGTTGTTGAAAATGAGACAATTTTTAGTATTGTCATTATGCATCAGATATTTTACACGGTTTTGAGTTAATTACAAAGCCCTTCGTTCTTTCTCTTGTGTTCAGTGTTTGTTAGAGTTCAGTAATTAGTCTTTAAACAAACAATTGCTCTTTAATTAACTTTTAAGTATCAATAAATTTGAATGAAAAATTTGAGCCTCTCTGTTATCAGCCTCACCTCAGCTTTTAGGGTTCCCTGCATTGCATCAAGCGCTGGTTGGCAGCATTTTTCTCAGAGCTGACACTCTTTCTTCAACATCTTGATAATGCTGCTTTGTTAGCAGCAGGCTAATATCTTACACACCAGCCTCAGAGCTCCAGAAGCACCAAAAATAAAAAAGGAAATAAAATCAAACAGCGTTGTGAAATATTTATCCATGCTACAGATTCACCCTTTGCAAAACACGCAGTCTTCAAATAACCTCCAAGAGGGATATTATATTTTAATTATATGCAAAGATCCTCTACTCTTATTAATTCACCCATCCATTCGAAATATCCTGGGATAAGCTGAGCAAAAACAGTTCCCCGTAGCTAGCTACAAATCCCAGCCAAACAAGTGAGTGTAAATTGTTTATTTTCCTTTTGTATTTTGCTGCCATTTATAACAGCAGAGCAAGATAATTAGTAACCTATAGGCATGCCTAATATTTATCATAACCAACTCCTAAGACATATTTTTGAGATATGTGGTATCTGGCTGTGGTCTGTTTGTTTCAAATCAGATTAGTACAACCTAATTTTGTATTCCTATTGTGCATAGTTACTTCGGTGGGAAGGGATAAACGTGGGGCAGGCAGACAAGACTCAGAGCTTCAGTCTGCTTCAAGAGCATGTCTCATTTATGTCCTTTGTCCACTATGTCATGTGAGCGTACTGCACACAAATATTGGCTCTGGCTGTTAATTAATGTGTAAATGTGCATTAAGTTTTGGGGTTGCAGCCCTGATCCGCCTGTCCCAGGCAAATCTGTGTAACTGCAAATAAATGAGTATTTATCATTTCCTGAGCTCCGTTCTGGCAGTGAGCCAGCAGAGATTGTATGCTGAAATTAGAATAGATGGGAAGGTAGGACTTGGTTCCAAATTGATCTGATGACAATAGCAAATCTGAAAGCAGCTCCACATTTTTAAAGGTTCGCTGTGCCTTTTTAGAAAGGAGGGAAAGAAAAATATTCAGGAAAACAACGGGAAGTAACTCGAAGTCTGGCGAGTATTCTCATTTGCTTTGATTCTGTTACAGCATTGTTTTAATGTCATCAGCATAAGAGCTAGAGCCCATTAACGTCACATGCTGAAAGGCATAAAGCGGAAATGAGGAAAATGCCTGTGCCACTCATCTAGTTATAACTTAGAGATTTTCCTTTGTGTATGTGCATGCAGTTTAAAGATCAAAGGGGTTTTATCCAACCACGTCAAATTGTGTCGATCCCCTCAAAGACCAAAAATATATATTACTGCTAATGAGAGTAATCCAGTTTTATAATACGATTAATAGGTCTTTAGCCGTGGTTTTTCTGTTGGGTTTTATCTACCCTTGGAAGCACTGGGGGAACACACAGCACTGCTATGGCTCATTTTTTGCTTGTGAAATAAAATACCTCTTGTACCTATCAAGATTTTTTTTAAAAAAAACCTCTTTGTTTGCAGCCTGATGTAAAATTATTTGTGATGTGACAGGTCAAAAAAACAATAAAAATTTCATACATCAGCATTAATTTCATTAGCTGATGAATTCTTACACTTTGGGTGCTTGTCAGGAGGATAGATGAGACAGAGTTCACCAAGTGTTTGAGCAGTCAGGGTGTATCCCTTTAAAAAAAGCTGATACAATGGAAAACAGAACTTCTGAAATGACACGTTGTTAAATAATTATAGCAGGAATTGACCTTGTGTCACATTTGTTTTGATGACTCAATATACAAGATCAAATAAAGCTAGCTGAAATAATTCTCATCTGAATGGGTGCCAGAACTGTAAGCATATTCATTGACCCCATTTAGTTTTTTTTTTAAATGCTATCTTTGCATTATCTGAGACTGTCTACCCAGGGTCATGTTTGTAAGAGACACAAAGATAAGGAGGTGGCTGGTATTATGAATGTTAACAACACAAAGGTGTATCTCAAAGGTGACTGTCCATAAAAGTCTTGTATTTCACGCATAGTGCATCTCTGACCTGCTCTATTTATCCAGGGCTGCTCCTGAAATGGAGCACCGGTTATGCCAAACCGTGTGAGGTGTAAGCTATGCCAGGTGAGGTGAGGTGTGAGCTATGCCAGGTGGGAGTTGGCTTTGTGATGTGGACAAATATCTGCTGAAATCAGCAAATTCACTACACTTAAGGTCTGATACAGCCCCCTTAATCCATAGATAACTAAGGGTGGCAGAATGAGGGCCTTGTGAGGCTACATGTACTGGTTTGTTGTTTGTTTGTTTTTGTTTTTAATCTGTGGCAGGAAGCCACACGGGAGCGGGGCTAGAAAAGTTTATAGACAGAAGCTGTATATTCAAGCAGAAAAAGAAAATTTAGGGATAACTCTGTTTTCCTTATTTTAATACAGTTCCTTGTTCAGTGTTAGGGGAAAAAAACAGCTCTTTCTGTGATTCTTGATTGTTGTCACAGAGCACGGAAGATTTAATAGTCTCGGGAACAGAGAGCTAAATTTGGCCTTTCCTCTGAAAAAAAATACACAATGTGAGGATCCCCCAACATGGTTTCATGCAAAGCATCTGCTCAAGGTTTGAGTTCAGGGAATCCATGGGGAAAGGTTCTCCTAGAGAGATGGAGGTAGGAGTCATCCTGCATGCATGGCTGCCTCTCAGGGATGCTCTCCCTGCTAACCATACCTCCTGTCAGCATGGCTCCTGCAGGAGGTATGCTGCCATTGGTATGGGCTGCCTCATAACTGCTTTGTTGCAGGATTGGAGAGGGTCAACGGGGCAGTAACAAAGATCTGTGCTGTATGAACTGCTGGATGGATGCCCACATGAAATCCAGCTGGCCTGAAGAGCAGAGAGCTGTGGAGCACAGACATGATCTCTGTCCCCACCTGCCCCCAAGCCAGCCTACAAATCTCCACAGGGCTCTGACTCCCCTGATCCCAAGCAGGATGGCACCCACGGGGTTCCAGAGAGGAGAGAGAAGTGGTGCTGCAGAGGCACCACGGCCTTCCGTGGGCAGCGGGCGTTCTAGAGGCATCACTGGGTGGCAAGTTATCCGAGTGCCGTACAAAAGAGACGTTTAAGGCTGATTCCAGCGGAGCTGAGGTAGAATCTAATTACCTGGCATCAGACGCCATATAAAGCTTTGTAGTGCTAGAGTCGGTATATTTTAAAATAGAGATTTGCAGATAGTGAACTAGCTATACATTACTTACTACCCAGTTGACTATTATAACAGCGGCGTCTCGCTGATACACCATTTGCTGCATACGGCAAGTGGAGCTCCTTTTATTCCACTGTTCTATGACCTGAGGCTAAATTGGCTTATTGTGTAACACAACACAAAGAGAACTGGAGAGGAAAAGAAGCCTTTAAATAGTAAAATCTTTCTTCATGAACCAGTGAGTTCTCTTTGCAGCCAACTGGCTGATTTGCATACACAGACAGCACAGTAACTCATCATGCCACCATAAAAGCCGTTCCTTAAAGGGACCTTGTCAAGGTTAGTAGCCCCCAAATTGATCAACTTACTTATACCTATTATTTATTGCACCCAGAGAGGATGTGGTGTGCATAATATCATACTCATGATGATGGAAGATAAGGGACTGAAAATGAAACACCCCTATTTCCCTCCAGTGTTTGTGAATAAGGCAAAAAGATTAACTAACTCTCATTTAATCTGGATGTATGTTCTTTCTCCTCTGTATTATCATTACATTGATTTTGCACCTAATTTCTGCCTTTGTCAGAGTTACCGGCCTAATAGATCAGGGTGGGGGGGGAATGAATAGATGTGATATATCTTGATTTTAGTAAAGCTTTTGACACAATCCCACACGTTCTCAAACTAGGGAAATGTGGTCTAGATGAACTTATTATAAAGTGTGTGCATAACTGGTTGAAAGACCATACACAGAGTAGTTATCAATGGTTTGCTGTCCAACTGGGAGGGTGTATCTAGTGGGGTCCCACCAGGGTAAGTCCTGGGTCCAGTACTAGTCAGTATTTTCATCAATGACTTTGATAATGGAGTGGAGCCTGTGCTTGATAAATTTGCAGATGACACCAAGCTGGGAGGAATTGCAACCACTTTGAAGGACTGAATTAGAATTCAGAATGACCTTGACAAATTGGAGTATTAGTCTGAAATGAACAACAAGTGAAGTACTTTGCACTTATCTTTAGGAAGAAAAAGTCAAGTTCACAGCTACAAAATGGGGAATAACTGGCTAGGTGGTAGCACTGCTGAAAAGAATCTGGAGTTATACTGGATCACAAATTAAATGTGATTCAGCTATGAAAAAGGCTAATCATTCTGGAGTATTGTATGTAAGACGAGATAATTGTCCTACTCTATTTGGCACTGATGAAGCCTCAGCTGGAGGACTGTGTTTAATTCTGGGCACCACACTAGGAAAAATGTGTACAAATTGGAGGGAGTTCAGAGAAGAGCATCAAAAATAATAAGTTTAGAAAACCTATGAGGAAAGGTTAACAAAACAGGGTATATGTAGTTTTGAGAAAAAGAAGATGGAGGGTAGACCTGACGAGTCTTCAAATATGTTAAGGGCTTTTATAAAGAGAACTGTGATCAGTTGTTCCCCATGTCCACTGAAGGGAGGACAAGAAGTAGTGGGCTTAATCTGCAGCAAGGGAGATTTAGGTTAGCTATGAGGACAAACTTTCTAACTATAAGGGTAGTTAAACTGTGGAATAGATTTCCAAGGGAGTTACTGGAATCCCCATCACTGAAGGTTTTAAAGAACAGGATGGACAAACATCTGTCAGGGATGGTCTATGTTTACTTGGTCCTGCCTGAGCACAGTGGGCTAGACTGTGACTTCTCGTGGTCCCATCCAGCCTTATTTTTCTATTACTCTGATTGCCTTTTCTCTAAAGCAAGAAGAAAATCTATTTCCTGCACTTCTCTTCTCTGCCAGGACACATTGACTCATCTAGGAAGTATTTGTAAGTAATACAAACACATAAATTGATTTTCTGAAATCAGGTTTGTAACACATGAAAAAATGATGTCTTTATGTGATATACACAAGATCAAATTCTGCTCTTATTTACAGCAGTGAATCCAAAGTAACTCCTTTGAAATAGCTCAGTTACTCTCTGTACATGCCAGCATCACAGCAGAATTGTTCCATGGTACGTGTGGCTAGGTTATAAATATAGATTAGTTCTGAGTCAAAGACCTGGAGAGACCACCAGATCATCTAGGCTGACCTCCTTTGTATCACAGACCTCCCGCAATGGCAGGGATTTGGTTAGCATGAGAGACACCCAGATAATCCAGACAAGTAAACTGCACCCCCATGCTACACACGAAACCCCCTTATAGTCACTGCCAGTCTGACCTGGGGGAAAATTCCTTCCCAATCCCAAATATGATGATCAGTTAGACTCTGAGCTATTGCCTGAGGAGGCACAAAAAAGCCACTGAGAGTTTGGCCCTGGAAATTATATAAAGAACAAAGAAACAAGAAGAATGATCATGTGGTTAAGACATTGGACTGGGAGCTGGATTCAACTCCTGGCATTGCCACAGACTTCCTGTGTGACCCTGGGCAAAGTCATTTTGCCTCTGTGCCTCAGTTTGGGGATGATAACAATAATAGTACTTCCTTTCTGTTTTTTCCCTTATACTTTGAAGAATTGACAGCCTAACTGGCTTCCTGTGTGCCTAGCACAATGGGGCTCCAGTTTCCGCCAGGTGCTACTGTAACACATGTTAGGATATAGATATTCAGGCCTGCCTGTAAAGGTCTATACTCTAAGAATTTAGGTGTATTCTTATCACTTGGCTAGTTATAAAGGTATAAAAGAAAGAATCAAAATCACTGTCTGCTGGTGTAAGGTCCTTCTCTTACTGTGACAGTCTGAGGCCCTGTTCTTAGGCTAAGGCCTTTGGCTAAGCAGCAGAGGCAGCCATAAGCCGGGAAGCGAATGGTCACATCCTCACATTCCAACCTGGTCACATTGAAATAAGGTGCTATTGGGCTGTTAGGAATACAATCCTGTCCTGATAATGCCTATCGCCTCCAGAGAAAGGGAAGTGCCTAGAAAAAGTAAAAGGAAACTTAGTTTGATAGCATCCTGTCTGGCAAGAACTCACTTATCA